GCCTTTGCCAAACCCCTCTCAGTCCTATACGCCGTGATCGTCCCCTTTTTTTCAAACCCAAAATCCATGCCCTCGAGCAAATGCCATCTCCTCAAACAACGCCACACTCGCCATATTCATCGCCCGAATAACAGGCGTTACCCCCACAACATGCTTCTCACTGCACGCACGGTAAAAATGCCACAACCAGGAAATCAAATCTCGGTCCAATCGCGGCTTAATATAAAAAGGACTATCTGGATTCAACATCCACTTCAGGCTTTGGGACACCACCCCCGGAGCGGATAGCGGTATGCTATGACTCGGCACAACAAGCCCCCCATTCCCATACGAACACCCCGAACAAATATCGCCTTTATCAACCAGCGCGACATCTCTACCCGCAGCATTTAAATAATAAGCCGAGCAAACACCGATTGCCCCACCGCCAACTATCAATATCTCTGTCTCTTCGCTCATCTGTATAGCCCTCAACCCGCGCGATGGTTCAGAACAACCGCTTTGAACTGAGCCACAATCTCTCGATAGGCGGGATCTTCCACACAATTATTCAACTCGCCCGGATCTCTTGCCAGATCGTACACTCACAGGGCGTCCCCGTTGGAATATGCAGCGTAAAGCGATACGCTTCATTCCGCACCCCGGTCCAATCCTCAATCGTCGAAAACACGTACTCATACCCACCAGAACCGTATTCCAACAACGGCAACAAAGATTGCCCGCGAGCACCTTCGGGTGGTACGACCTGTCCGATCTCAGCAGATAGTTGAGACCACATCGATCAACTTGCGTGAGATCGCTGCAAACCCCTCTGCTTTTGCGATCCGGCGGACTGACAATCAGCGGAACCTGAACCGAGCCTTCGTAAAAACTGTGCTTCGCCCACAAATGGTGTTCGCCGAGCATCTCGCCGTGATCCGCGCTGTAAATAATCCACGTATTGTCCAGTTCCCCCAACTCATCAGCGTATCAATCACCTCCCCAATCTTCTGATCAACCAGAGAAACAGCACCCAGATAATGCCTGATACCTTCGCGCACAAAATCATCCGTCATGGTCTGAACCTGAGAATGCGCTTTGAGCCGTTCGACCTTTTCTGCCCAAACCTCATTTGTAGCTCGCGGCATCGTCATATCGGGCAATGCGATATCGGCATCCGCATAATAAGCAGCCCAAATTGGATCATCCATCAGCGGAACATGCGGCTGCACAAAACCCAGGTGAAGATAAAAGGGCTTCTCGGAATCGCGCGATTGCAGCCAAACCATCGCGTGATCGGCAATAAAACTGGACAACTCGCATTCTTGTGGCAACACACTCGTCTCGCCCCGCCAGTGCGTGGGCGTAAGCCTGTAAATCCCCCGGATCTGTTCCTGATGCGTCTCGAGAACACCCCGCGCTTCGAGAAAATCCATATACGGACTTTTCACATGGCTCTGAACGTGACCATACCGGTCGTACTCCTCCATCACATAATCCCATCCAAAACCCTTCACAAAATCCCCAAACTGCCGCGTATCAAAACTCTCTCCGCGTTCTCCCGCCTCCAGAGAACCGGGCCGCCCATGATAGTGCGTCTTGCCAATCGATGCGGTCTCATACCCACCGCCCTGCAATTGCTTCATAATCGTCGGCCATGCGGGTTTGAAAGGACTATCATCAACCGTATCCCCGCGATCAGCGGTAACATTGGACGTGAACCCCAGTTCATGCGTATATCGCCCCGTAATCATCGTAGCCCTGCAAGGCATACAAACCGGACACTGCGTCCACGTCCGCTCAAAACGCATGCCCCAATCCGCCAGCCGATCCAGATTCGGCGTCTGAACCAGCGAATGCCCGGCACAGCCGAGCACATCGTGGCGGTGTTGATCGCTAAAAATGAACAGAATATTGGGTTGTTTTGCCATCGACCTTTCCCCAATCACACAGGCATCTGCCTACCTGAAATTGCGCGGCCAATTCTCGCGTGATCTTCGCCTCCACCAGAGAGAATCCTAACGCCCCAATCCATCAAAAACCGAATATTTTCTTCCATAGTCTTTGAAGAATCCTTCCACGAACACAAAAAATGAATCCCATTCTCATCACACGCGCCCTTCACAATATTTCGAGCCTCCTCCATAACCGGCGGATACGGCGGATCGTGAGCATCGGCAAAACCGTAGGACATACCCATATCCCCCGGTCCCCACTCCGCGAACGACAGACCCGGCACCTTGCATATATACTCGGCATTCGCAACACACTCCCTGTCCTCAATTTTAAGCCCGAGCATCAACTCGCCATCTGGATTTAGCGGCCACGGATCGGCTATCCGCGTGTACTCCGGTCCCGTAAGCCCCCAAATACCCGCGGCATATCCCTGTCCCCCGCCCCCGCGCTGCCCCTGCACCAGCCCGCGATCCAGCCCGACCGTCTGGAAGGGATACCTGCACTCTTCGACAAACGCCCTCACCGCATCGGCCTGCCGCGCATGCGTATGCAAAATGCCATGTACTCCGAACTCAAAACATGCCTGATCTGCCACGCATTGGCGCGAACCTCATGCACAGTGCGACAATTGGACGGCAGCGTCGCAAACACAGTCGGCGTGCGATGCCCCGAATTTGTGGGACCGCCATCCACCAGCCCTCTCATAAACGCGCGAAGACCAACCACATCAAACGGACTGTGCTCGTAATCCACCATCAAAAAATCCGCCCACGTCTTTGCCTGCTTCTTCCCATTCTCGTAAGTAAGAGGACCAGCACCCGAGTAATAGAGATACTCCCCCTGCTCGAGAAGCTCGATACATCTGTTAATTCGTTTCTTTTCCATTGTTCCCTCCTGTCGGTTATAGAGATCTCTTATCTCTCAAAAATCATGCACCACATGGCCGTGCCCAAAGAAAAAGAGATGATCGATCAAAGTTGAGAAAAACACCGCAAAAGCATAACCCACCATCAAACCGATAAAAAACGGCTGCCCCCTGCGGTACATTGCCACACCCCCAAATTTCAGGATAAGCGATTTATAAGCCCACACCATAAACACGGGAAACACCAGACGACGCGCCATATACATGCCCTGCAGCGCCAGACCAACAGCGGGCAAAGGCCACCAGATAAAATTGTATCGCAAAAAGGTCAACAACAACACAATCACCATACCGGACCCGGCAAATGTGAGCCGGTCCCAATCCGGCGGTTGGGGATTTCGGATCCAGGTCACGGCTTTCTGATAATTATTTCGAACACCTGTGACCCTCGTCAGCCCCCCCAGATTATACCCGCCGTGCCGATAGGAGGTATAAATGGTATCGCCGATAGAACCCAAAAATCCCAGCGTCACTGCAATCGCAATCGCACCAATCAAGCGATTGCGCCGAAACTTTAACCCACTCGTCAGCTTGAGCGTCTGTGCCAGAGGCGGACCGAGGAACCCGCGCGTCGTGGCGAACAGCGCATAGATAAAACCCTGACTCACCATAGATGGTGCCGAAATCGCACGCGACCCCAAAATATAAATAGGCGCGAAATTCAGTGCCGTATCCGAGATATTCGCATAAGGCAACCCCATCTCAGCCACGATTCGCGACAGACCAATATAAGCAGTTACGGCAAAAAACATATACAGCACCAGCATCTTCAATTCCATACCCGCCAGATGCAACCATCCACCCACGTAAAGAAGCCCAATCAACAGCCCAAACACCGCCGTTCGATACGACAAAACCTCCCGCGAATCATCGACCTCAGCATCACCCCTCAACGCTTTCCGAAACACCGCCTTCAAATGACCCCGTGACATCCACAAACTCACCAGAACAATCATTACAAACGCGCCAAAACTCTGAGATCGAACCGCCTCCAAGCCCCCTTGACCAACAGAAGACCCCACGCCGAGACGATCAAACACGGACATCTCAATACCTGTCAAAACAAAAAACACCCAAAAACTGAACAGCGCTTCCACACGCGCAAAATAGGCAAAGCCAATAATATAAATACTGATTTGCACCCAAAACGTCGGCGCGCCATCCATCCAACGCAACCAACTGGCCGCATTCGGCGTAGTGGGCAATCGCGGTATCAAAGGATAAAAAAACGTCACAATATTCCACAGAACAGCCAGAGCGCCCAGAAAACAGCCAATCTTAAACCCCCGCTGCCGAACCATGTGCGCCATACCCTCGGCGTCATCTGATCCGGCGGCCATCTTAATGCTCACATTCATCAACGGGTATTCCAACCGCTCATTTTCAACCCACTGCTTCCGCAAAATCACCATAATACACAACGTCAGCCAGCCAATGGCGCAGATCAAAGACCCCCACCAAAAGAGCGGCACAATCCACGCACCCCACGGAATCTGCTGATGTGGTGCAAGCCCCTCGTAAAACAGCGTTGCTGCCCCATCTTCATTGTGCAAGACAATCCATGTGGGGATATGCTCGTGCAAAAGCTCGCGCCAGCCATTCTCCGGCGTATCGAGATAAAAAGGCGCCGCAATCACCGTGGGCAAAAAACTCGCCAGACCAAAAAATGGGAAGAACGCCCCAATCAATCCCATACCCAGCACAACTTGCAACTCAGCCTGAGAAAGTGCCCACCTGCTCTTTGCCCGATCAAACGCGATATTTACCAGCACCAGAACCACATACACAAAAAACAGCCCCATCGGCAGATAGGACTTATTCATACGAGACGCCAGATGCAACATACCCCATGTGATATAGGCTTCGGACAGAAGAATAACCACCATGCCCACCAAAATGGACTTCAGCGTAACGGCTTCTCTTACAAACTGAGTGGGTTCAACAGATGGGATATGTTCCTTGTGCCATAGTAGTCAATTCTTATTCAGACAATCGGCGAGAATTGAGAGGATTTCCGCAACAGCATCGCGCCTGCGCCACTCGGACATAGATTGACGCAGCGCATCGCTCTGATCGCAGCAGATCGCGGATGGCTTTGCAAAGCGCGTTCGGCGTAAGCCCCTCTTCTGAGAGGACGAGGCTATAACCGGCATTTCGAAAAGCTTCGGCATTCTCGATCTGATCTCCGCGACTGGCTTGCAGGGGAAAGGGGAATCAAAAGCGCGGGTTTTTGGAGTGAGAGAAGTTCAAAGAGCGCGGTAGCACCTGCGCGAGAGACAATGTAATCGGTTGCCGCAAAAAGATGCGGCAGGTCATCCGTAACATATTCAAACTGCGCGTAACCTTCGGTCTGTTCAAGAGCCGAGTCGAGATTGCCCTGCCCGCACAGGTGGCAAATCTGGTACTCGACAAGCAAATCGGGGAGTGCAGCGCGAACCGCCGCGTTAATCGCACGCGATCCCAGGCTACCCCCCATAATGAGAATAATGGATTTCTCAGACTTAAAAGCGCACAGATCACGCCCTTTTTGGGCATCGCCATTTGCGAGTTCTGCGCGAACCGGAATACCGGTATGAACCGCTTTGCCAGCGGGCAAATATTTGGCTGTCTCCGCAAAAGCATAGCAAACGCGCTTTGCAAAAGGAAAAGAGAGCTTATTGGCCAACCCCGGCGTGAGATCCGATTCGTGACACACCACGGGAATGCCCAGCAACCACGCAGCCCAGATAATGGGCGGCGTGACAAATCCCCCCTTACTAAAGACAATATCGGGTCTGATACGAGCGAGAATCAACAGCGACTTGAGAAATCCAAACTTGATGCGGGCGAGATCGGTAAAATTTTGCCAGTCCAGATAGCGGCGGAGTTTGCCTGCGGGAACCGCGTGAAAGGGAATGCCCTCCCGTGCGATCAGTTCTTGCTCAATACCGTCCCGCGTACCGATGTAATACACATCGTATCCAGCATCGCGCAAAGCGGGCAACAGCGCGATATTGGGCGTAACATGCCCTGCGGTACCACCGCCAATGAGGACAATAGTAGGCAAGAAAAACTCCTGTGCTTCGCTATCACACAAAAATATCGGTCATCGCATTTGGTTCGTGCCACTGGCGTTGTTGTTCGATCCACTTGTGCGGCTTAAACGCCGTGGCGACATCTTGGATAGCAGTTCCGAGAATATTGATATTGTTGAGATCGGTCACACCAATGCCGAGTTGATTGGCATAATAGAGAAGCCCCTGCTTCGCGGGTTCAAAACCCATAACACTGGCCATAACTGCATCCACAGCAAAAACATCCACACTCGCTGCAGCAACGCCCAGATCAACCGCATCTGTCCCCCCGGGGCCATCGCCCTGCAAACCGACGGTACCATCAATAACGCCGATATCCGGTGCCAGATATTTGGCGAGCCGAATGAGATTGACATTGAGTCGTTTGGACTCATTGGGACGCAGACGTTCGGGATGCGAGGGAAACCCGTGCATTTTGACGCGGTCTTCTTTCCGGATCGTTCCCATAATCATGTTCTTGAGCGCGAGCGTAACAACTGTGACATCGTGGGTTTTGGCAACCGCCATTGAAATCGTGCAAGGGCAGTCGAGCACAGTTTTGGGCATATGCACCTGGTATTCCGTTCGGTCATCGAGGAGGATCGGCACAGTTTCCCATCGGGTCTCAGAATTGAGATCGATGAGTTGAATGGGAATATCGTATTCTTCTTTCAAAACGCGATACCCGAAATTTTCAAAAGCTTGTCCCGAAATATTTTCATTACCCCCCTCGGCAATGAGAATCTCATCCGGTGGATTGGGCGTGGTGAGCAAAAAATCAATAGCCCCTCGCATCGCATCGGTATGGGAAGACGCCAGTTGATTTTTAGACGAAAGAAAATTGGGCTTGAGCATCACCTGCTCGGCGAGTTTGGGAATCACGTCATCGCGGATGAGATCGAGGGCGCCAAATACATTCTGGCGGCGATTTTCGCGACGGGCAAGACCGACATTAATTCTGGACATGAGATACTCCTTTTATTGGTTTCTGAATTTATCTCTCCCATGGAAACGCAAAAGTGGGCGAATTGACATAGCGTTCTGTTTTGAGAGTGAGTCGCGTGCCGCACCCAGGTCCGAGACGAACAGACATCCACGATGCATCGAGATCAGATGTATTGCCATCAACCTCAGCGGCAATAATCTGATGTTCGGCATAAGCACCACTCTGGATAATGAGATCGCGGTATTCTGTCTGATTGACATTCACGAGTGATAACACGACACTATCCGCGGTCAGCGTTTCGACCAGAGCAGCCACATCAGACGGCAACCCGGGACGGCGATTTTCGGGATCAAAATAACGCACGCGGCAATGCAGGGGTTCGCCGTGCCGCGGTGCCAAACCACCCAGTTGGAGCTGGATGAGCGCGTTCACAGTAGTTGCGGGATTGTACGGCAATGGATCGTCGGACAAGCGGGTATCCGTGGAAGACGTATCGTTGCGCACATTTTCCATCTTCCCACGAATCGCGCTCAGTGCATTTCGCAACATACGTGTAGGATAGTCGGAATTATTCCCGCGAAGATAGTCTATCCATGGATCTGCGGAAATATATTGTAGATCGGCATCATCCATCGTCCAGTAATAAACATCGAGCGCACCCTGATTAAAGGGCTGGGAGCTATAGCTATACCAACCATCATCGCCGTGCATATGCGGATATTGGATCTGCCCGTCAATATCTTTGCTATTGCTATTAACCGCATTGAGCATAGTGCGCCAAACAATGGGATATTTCTGGTCGCCAGTCAGAAGCAGGGCATTGCCAAAACCCGCTATACCGCGGGCTATGGAATTGCGATTGGAAAGCGCGCCTGTTTGGGGAACAACCACAGTAAATCCCCAACCGTAACAGCCGCCATACCATTTGCCATCACACGCACCGCCAATACTACCATCAAGACCGATATTGGACGGAAGAATACCGTTGTTCTCAGCCGCGCGATCAGCCCACGCATCCACATATCCGAGCAACCAGGTGCGATATTTTTCTTCGCCAGCCAGCGCAAAAGCATTGAGACCGAGCGTAGTGGCCGCCAGATTCAGGGGATGATCGCCAATCACATCGGTATAATCTTCAAAATGCATGAGCATCTCTTCAAAATTGCGTTCACCGTGGCGCGGTGCGGGAAAGCGACCCTCAACCTCAAAGGGATCCCCTGCCCAATCGAGACCCGTGGCTTTTCGCAGTAAAGGTCCCCGACTGCCATTGAAAAGGCTGCGAATGACCTTGTGCTCGGGATCGTAATTTTTCGCCTGTGGATCTTCATCCATATAAAAACCCGCGTACCGACGCACGCGGTGACCAAATGTGACCTCATGCGGATCGGACAACCCCTGCAGATTGAAAATAGTAAGCGATTCCCCGTGGTGGAACCAGTCGAAACACGCTGGAAACTCTTTGTAGTACATACCATCGCGTCCAATGGGCACAACCTCGGTTTTAGCTTCGGAATATTGTTCGATATGCCCTTCCCACGCCTGTTTGTAGAGATCGAGAATATGTTTTGGCCCACCCAGCGTATGCACCATTGAATATCCCGTGAGATTCTCTATCGCATCATCTCGGCCCATCGTTGCCCCCCCACCGCGGAATACACTTGAGATATCCCCGGCTGTCAAAATAGCGGTGATAAAAAACCTCGCCTGCCGTGGCCTGCGCGCGCATCAGTTCCCGTTGCAAAAGTGCCCACTCCGGAGGGGCAGCAGGTGACGTAATATGAATAGCCATAAAAATCACTCCTCATTTTTCCCACGCGAGCGAATAGTCGCGTTCTTCGGGTCTGGGATGTCCGCCGGGACCATAACCAGCGGTAGATTGCGATTCTTCAGTCAGAGGAATAAATGTAGGGATTAGATCAACGTCTGTCACGTCAAAACGATAAAAGCTCAACGTGGGATCGCCATCATCCCATCGGTCGGCAGCCTGGGGCATAGCTATACCAGCACAGCGGTAAAAGGAAATACCCTCAACAATTTGGGGCGGGCGGCGGCAGTGAATATGTCCACTGAGGACAATGGACACACCGGATTTTTTAAATGCCTCAAAAATGCGCTGTCTGTGTGGCGGATCAATAGAAAAATACCAGTCCCGGTACTCGTCCGCTTTTGTAATATCCCATTTGGGTTCGTCGAGCGTATCCATAAAAAGGGTATAGTGCATAGTCACAACGTGATGCGCCGCGCGGGGAAGGGACGGCAATTCGCTTTCGAGCCAGTGCCACATGCGCGTCTCATAGGATAATCCCGAACCCGCCACAGCCGCATAAAATCCGCTAAAACGCACATTCTTGTGTACAAAACTCCAGGGGAAATCGCCGAAAAACGATACAAACCGATCCAGTTGCTCCTCGGTGACATTCAGGCGAATATCTTCGCGCCCGGTGGCACCATTTTTATCTGTATGCTTATTGGACGTATCCATATTGCCGGGAATTGCATAATAGGGATAAGGCAAGGTATCGAGTTCGCGTTTGGCTATTTCAAACTCAAAGTCGTGGATCGACCCATCGCGGGTGAGATCACCACCTACGAGAAGAAGATCGACATCGGTAATACCTTGAATCTGGCGGTACGCCGTCTGCCAATTGTCCATACTGCGCTGTTTGAAGCGAAAGGACCGGGGCGAACCGGGTTGCATGTCACAGATATGCAGAAAGGACCAGGGTTCCATAGCGTCTCCTTTGCGTCGGGGTTATTGTTTCATCTCCATTTCTTTAAAAAAACTCAATGTATCAGCTGGCGTATTGGGCGCAACACCTTCGGGCAGTATGAGAGTGACAGCCCGATCAGAAGTATCGGCAATACCGCTCCGCAAGTTCACAGTATGCGCGGCTACTCCTGTGGGCGTGATAAAGTCATGTGATGGTTTCCCTATGCTCTTCATAAATGCCGCCCATATCGGGGCAGCACCACTGCCGCCGGTAATCTGGCGTCTGCTCCTTTTCTCGACCAGCCGGCGGCCGCCCTCGCGGTTGTCAAACCCAATCCACACACTGGCAACCAGATCGGGCGTAAACCCCGTGAACCAGGCATCCGTATTGTCATTTGTCGTACCGGTCTTCCCCGCGGCAGCACCCTGAAACCCAAGCGCGCGAATCGCGCGACCCGTACCGCGATTGACAACATGCTGCATCAAATTGACCATAATCGCCGCGTATTCGGGATCGATAACGAGCACGGGATTTGGTTGATGCTCATAGTGTATTTGTCCATGGTATCTTCAATCCGCGCGATAAATGTCGGCATCACGCGAAACCCGTAACTCGCAATCGCGCCGTAGGCAACGGCCATATCGAGCAACGTGACTTCCTGCGCTCCCAGGGCAATACTCGGATACGGTTTAAGCTGGCTCTGAATACCCAGGCGTTGGGCCAGATCGACAATGCCTTCGGGACCCATTTCCATTGCAATTTGCACACTCGTCGCATTCGCCGAATTGACCAGTGCATTCGCGGCAGTGGTAAGCCCCAGATATTTGTCTGCAAAATTTTTGGGCGTCCAGTCCTCATCATTCACGCGATAGGTGCGCAGCGTGTCATTAAAAAGAGAAACCGGCGAAAAAGCACCGCTTTCAAAAGCCGCCAGATAGACAAAAGGTTTGAAACCCGAACCCGGTTGACGCCGCGCTTGAGTGGCGCGGTTGTAATAACTGATAAAAATATCGCGCCCACCCACCATCGCTTTGACATATCCGGTGCGCGGGTCCAGGCAGATCAACGCACCCTGGACATAATTGGCGCGCTGATCAGATGATGCACTGCCATAATCTGAAAACCCCAGACGTGCATCCAGATCCGCCAAACCTCTGGCCACGGCTCGTTCGGCAGTTTGTTGCATAGACAAATCGAGCGTCGTATAAATATTCAAACCGCCAAAACTCAGCGCCTGAGCACCCCACAAGCGTGTAACCTCGGCTTTAATGGTCTCGACAAAATACGGGGTTCGATTCTGGGGCGTGCGTTCCGAAACGATATGCAACTCCGAGGC